CTCTCTCTCTCTCTCTCTCTCACATACACACACACACACACACACACACACACACACACTCCTCCACTGACTCTGACAATCACCATTCGGTTTCAATTTTTGTAAATCTTTTAGATTCCATATGTAAGATGAGGAACATTTTCCTTGCCTAGCTTATTTCACTTATGTAATTTTCTCCAGTTCTATCTGTGTTGTTGCAAATGACAGAATTTCATCTTCTTTTAAACACTATGCTTTTGTGTATATGTCTTTAGCCATTCATCGGTTGAAGGGGTGTTAGAGTTTTTAACTCTCTGTCTCTTATTAATGATGCTACAGTGAACCTGGGAGAGCAGAAATCTCTTCAGATTCTTATTTCATTTCTTTTAGATATACACCCAGTAATGGAGAGTTACAGGAGCCTATGACAGTCTAATTTTAACTGTACTTAATTTAAAATTTTTCCACTCTCCATAATGGCTGCTTTTCTTTCATTCTTGGTGAGATAAAGCATGTTGTGGCCGAAGATGATCTTGTTGGTAGGCATTCTTTCATGTTAAAGGATGTAATATGCTTGTATCCTTCACAGAACATTCAGAGGCTCATGTCCATTTATGTGATTAGAGACTTTTAGAAACACAGAAGCTGCAAGGTATTTTTAAGAACCATACTAATTTTATTAAACATTGAAAGTAAACTGGACATTATTGACATTATGTTTTATATCATCTGAAGGCAATACATGTCTTAAATCAGGAAAACAAAAATCTATGGAAACCATAATCTAGTCCATACCTTCATAATAACTTAAATAACCAATAATAAGTCAAATAATCAAACACTTACAAAGATATTATTTTATGTTTAATATAAAAATTTGATAGCATTCTTAGTTAAATGTTATTACAATAAAACTTAACAACTATCTAAATATGAATAGCATTGAAATTCCTTACAATTAAGTATTACTTTGAAAAAGTGGATTATTGACTAAGGCTTAAAATGGCTTGTAGCCATGTGGGCTTTAATACATTTACATTCTTTTAAAATCTACCCTTATGGTTTAGTTTGAATTTTGTCTACTTTAATACAACGTCATCTCTCTGTAGACCTATATTTTTGAAATAAAAAATAATAAATTACACCTTCCTATAGGGAGCAAACCTTACAGAAAATTCTTTGGTATAAAAAACTGTAAATTGCAGTTTTATTTATTTTGTGTGCAAATGTGTGTCTGTGTGGTATATTCGGCACATGTACAGAGGTCAGATGACAATTTGCTAGTGTTAGTTCTTTCCTTCCACCATGTGGGTCCTGGGAATGATTTCAGCTTGTTGAACTTGACAGCAATCATATCATCAATCCACAAATCTGGATACATATGTATATATAAATTAGAGATTTATATGTATTTTATATACATTATATATGCTATTTACTATTAGATTTTCTAGCTTATACAATATGTTGTTAGAAATTATAATTATAATAAACATTTGATTCCTATTAATTGAACATTTTAGACTCCCCCTAAAAAAACATACGAAGCAACAACAATAATAACAACCGCCCCCCAAAAAACCCAGAGGCCAGTTGCTCAGGAAAATCTTCACTATTGATACACCAAAAGAAGACTGAGGAATCCCACATAGCACAATTCAGGTTTCTGCACACATGAAATCAAATGTTTTTCTTTTGTTTTATTTTCTAGTTTATTCTGCTAAATGAGATAACTGCTTCCATGACTTTTTAAACTCTAGAGTTAGATGAACTTTTGACATTTCCCTAGAGGAGAGGACAGTCACTTTGTCAGAGGTGCATCCAAAGCTATGTCAACCCCAAATCCTCCTCATGTCTGCTTATTATTGACATGATATTTTGAAGAAAAATTTCTTGTTATTAGAGATTTTTTCTTTTAGAAATTTGGATACCTTTCTGAAGTTTCTATATCATCTAGTATAAATAATTTTATTAATCATATTCTTCAAATTTCTCAAAAGCACTACAATATTGAGTGGGTGAGTATGAATAAGAAAACACAAATCTTGGGCAGTGTGATCACTAAGCAGGTAAAAGTGCCAGCTGCCATGCCTGGGTTCTGTCACTGTGACCCACATGGTGGAGAGATCAGACTCCTAAAAGTTGCCTTTGACCTTTACATGTATTCCATTGCACACATGGACCCACACACATTCATATACATAGCCACACAAAATAAATAAGTAAAACGTGATACTTTTTAAAGTTTGAAAACCTATATATCATAAAAATAAAATACAGATCTTGCCTCATTTTGTATTTTCCCAGAGCTGATTTTAGACAGAACATTGTCTGTTCCGGATATGGAGCTTCTACTCCCCTATCCGTGGAATAATTCTATTGGGTGGGGGAGACAATGAGGGTGAGAGGTGGGGGGAGAATATCTCCACCTTTTTAGAACAAAGCAGTTCATTTTTCATGAAGCGTTCACTTTTCAGTTTAATGCTATTGAACATCTGCTACACAGTGTACATACAGAGGAGCAAGAAATACTTTCTCATATTTTTTCCATTTCATCTAATTTAATTAACTTAATCCAGTTTACTTTTTCCTTCACTAGGTTGTTTGATATTCTTGGCTGGAAGAGAAGTGAAAACAACTCAGAGGTTTCACGATTTATACTTCTGGGCCTATCGTCTTCCTGGGAGTTGCAGTTATTTCTCTTCTTAGCATTTTTATTGATTTATGTTGTTATTGTCCTGGGAAACTTCCTGATAGTGATGGTGGTACAGGCTGATGCTCACCTGCTCCAGTCACCCATGTACTATTTCCTAAGCCATCTGTCTTTCATCGACCTATGCCTGAGCTGTGTTGCTGTACCCAAAATGCTAGGAGATTTCCTACAAAAGGAGAAGACAATATCCTTTTCAGGATGCCTGGCCCAGATCTTCTTTCTTCACTTTCTGGGAGCCAGTGAGATGTTTCTGCTGACTGTAATGGCCTATGACAGGTATGTTGCCATATGCAACCCTCTGCATTATCTGGCAGTCATGAATAACCACCTGCGTCTTCAGTTGGTGTTTGCCTGCTGGTGTGGAGGTTTCATCCACTCTATCACACAGCTCGTAATTGTCATCCAGCTGCCTTTCTGTGGTCCCAATGAACTGGACAACTTCTACTGTGATGTCCCCCAGGTCATCAAACTGGCCTGCATGGACACTTACTTGGTTGAGGTGCTGATGGTCTCTAACAGTGGCATATTGTCTCTTGTCTGCTTCTTGGTCCTGCTCTTCTCTTATGCTCTCATCCTGCTCACTCTGAGAACTCACCTCCATCGGGGCCAGAGCAAGGCACTGTCCACCTGTGCCTCTCACCTTACAGTGGTCAGTTTGATCTTTGTGCCCTGTGTATTCATCTATTTGAGGCCATTCTGCACCTTCTCTGTGGATAAAGTGGTCTCTGTGTTTTACACAGTGATCACACCTATGCTGAACCCCCTTATCTACACACTCAGAAATGCAGATATGAAGCGAGCTCTAGAAAAACTGAGAAGGAAGCAGGTGACATCCCATTGCCTTGTTAAAGGATAAGAGGTATAAGGTGTCCTAAAAAGTGCCCTTCTTTGGAATGCTCTTACTTTCACCTGTGCACATGTGGAAGCCACTTTAGAGACTGGGCATAGAAGAGAAGACAGCATAAAAATATAAAAAATCACTTGCAGTAATAGTTGTGAGACATGAGTGGTTTTATTGGGAGTTAATATGAGGCTTTACCTCAGGAACATTTACTGGCTGACAGATGAAAATCATTAATTATGTGATAGGGCCAGAGCCCATCTCGAAAGATCAACTCTCTACCCTTTTGACCCTGGCAAGTCTTCATTTCATTTCATAAATTTATGTTGATGCTTAATTTTGTTCAAGTGGTAAAAATATTACGTTCCTTTTTTCCTGCCCCTGTTAACAGTCCATAGTGTGAGGACACACTTACTGATGGTGTCTTTTCACAGTCTCTTTAGAAGTAGAGCAAGTTCCTCTTGTCCACCTTCCAGCAAAACCTAAAAACATTAAACTCCCTCTGCACTAGTGCTCAGAAGGGAATTGTATTCTGCACTGCCAAATTTTAAAAGCATAGGTCAGTTTGATAAACAAAGTTTACATGTGAGAAGGTAGGAATGCCGGCATGATGGGATTTACTAGCATTCCATTGTAGAGCCTTCTCTGGAAGTAACACCTTCATTCGTAGGGAGGGGAAATTGCTGAAGGTCAACTAATTACTGTTTAATTCCAAAGAAGAGATGGAAAAATAGAACAGAGCTGTGTTTTAAAGCACCTTCGCAATCTCTGAAGTGCTCAAGTTATAATCTCTGGGTTACAAGCACTCTTTGAGTCATAGGCAGTATTATTTAAGTTCGTTTCTTAGAAATGATCTCAGGGCTGTTAATTAACTTGCATAATATTAATTATAAAACCATAATCAACTGTATAAGCCAAATGCATTAAAGATAGCCTTAGAAGCTCCAAAACACACCCCTGTCCCATTGAGGAAAGAGAGCTAAGCACTTCCCCTGGGGTAAATTTAACCAAGAGTGAGTCCTGTAGTTTGAGGTTTCTGGCTTCTCTGCAGTCTGTCTGTTCTTTGCATGATTTGTACTGATTGCCTGGGTGTCTCTAACAAAGGGCTTTGTTCTGTATTTTTTTTTTTTTTTTGGACACAGAAGGCATTATATGAGGAAGGAATGAGGGATACTTCACAAAAGTCTTTCACAGAGTTTTACAAGGGAATAAGTTACAGATTCCAACTGACTCAGACAACAAACAATATAGTAAACATACTGCTATCAAGAAACATCAGTATGCAGCTTCAAACATTTATGGTAGATATTTGTTGTATAGGGTTGACACACTTGCATGCACGCACACACGCATGAACATACACACACACACACACACACACACACACACACAGAGAGAGAGAGAGAGAGAGAGAGAGAGAGAGAGAGAGAGAGAGAGAGAGAGAGTCATATATGCTGCTCTGCTCCAAGTCAAAGGCATACAACAATTCATTACTTAAGATTCAAGCTGTGTATTAACTTTAGGTTGTTAAAGTTTTGGAAATGTAAGGCAGGTAAGTTTGGTTGTTACACTGTTCTCCCAAAGGCAACAGGTTAAAGACAGGCTGAGCACACAGCAGGAAAACTGTTCTAAGTGACCTCAAGGTGTATTGTGAACTGTGCTGTGAGGTCTAGAAAAAAGTTACAGTCTCTTAGGATATAAGAGGTAGTTTCATAAAATGGATCACCACAACAGCCAAAAAAAAAAAAAACAAAAAACAAAAAACAAAAACAAAGTTTAGACAACAAAATTAATATTTTTCTCCTCAGAAAGGTTTAGTTAAATTACATGGGAAGGATTACTTAATTTCTACAGCATCTGTTTAGCAGCTCCAACTCTAGGAATCCCCTACACACTTTCACTCAAACATTCATCCAGATCTTCTGAAAGTTTACTAATTTATTGTCAGCATGTGTGTGTGTACACAATCTGAGTTACTGCAGATGTATATGTGCCACATGGTGTGTGTGTGTGTGTGTGTGTGTGTGTGTGTGTGTGTGTGTGTGTGTGTGTAAATCACAGGGCGACTCAGAAGTTGGTTCTTCCTTCCCATAGTGAGTTCAGGGAACTGGACTCAGGTCATCTGCCTTCTTTGTTTATGATGCCTATCAAGGAATATAAGATGACAACTGAGGATAACATAACTATAAAAAACCTGCCTATCAGGGAGTAGAGTGTAGGCTGATAGAAAGATTGAAGTGCAGCTGTGTTTGAGCCAGGCACATTGCATAAACACGAAGCTACCAGCTTTCTGGACCAAGAGGGCTGAAACAAGCCCTCTTCTGACATCCTTTAGAAAAGTTGGTGTCTGGGATTGTAGAATTATATTCTGCAGCGCAAGGACTTTTGTACTCCCTCTTTAAGTTTTAGTTTTCCAATACTTTGTTCTCTTACACTAAGATTATTTTTATTAATAAGTCAATAAATCTTCCAGTTTTTCAGACTGCACACAATTTATATCATCTGTGGTACCCTCTGCTCAGGTACCATGGTCTGCTTCCATAGCTAACCTGAACTTCTCCGAGTCTTTTCCTCTGATTCAAAGTTAGCACTGCATTCGCTACTGATGTCAATACAGGCAGTAGCTGGTGGAGGAACACTGTCTACACTGTGTGGCAAGAAGAGCCTTGTCATTGTGCTGTAGAGTCTACATTCACATGTGAGAGGTCTCTGTGGTAGGGCTTGGGCTCAGGAGAAGTGGTAGGTTGGAAGCTGAGGACCAAAGGTATGCTCTGTCCATGTTGTTATGTTTTCCTACAGAAATTCAAGTGTTATGAGGAATTTCAATAGGAAACCAGTCCTTCAGCAATTATAAAGGAATGAGAATATATCATATTTGGATTTTTGTTAGACACACAGCTTTCAAGCATTATTGTTGTTCATTTGAATTCTTGTGCTGGCTTCTATAGATATCTGTGTGTGAAAGTTTGTGCCCTTTTATCAGTTGTATGCTTCAAAAAGAACTTAAAATAAGTAAAAACATCCCTGGTTCATTATTAATGAGAAGAACATTGCTTATATTTCCATATTGAATCATGGGATTCATGGGAACCAAGCTCATGAAAATGAGTAACCTAGTTTCAAAGCACATATTGTGAAAGAACTAATATAACAGAAAATTCTGCTTCCATATTGTCAATTCTTGCTTAACTCTAAGGGTTTCAGAAACTAGAAGATATTTAAAAGAAGTCAATATACCATTATAAAAGTTAATTTGGAGAAAACAGTTCCTTGAAAACATTCCTTTAATAACTAATGTCTAGAGATGTCTTAACATTCATTAATAATTAATTATTAAATTATAATATATCCCTTAATTCTACAACTATTTCTAGTGAGCCTATCATATGTTTAGATATGTTGTAGATAACTTGCTGTTTGGGCCTTTCACCAAACATCAGTAAATCCCTCAAAAATCCAACAAAGGTAAATATCCAAGATAATATGTGAGACCAGATGGCTCGGGGAAATAGAGCAGAGAGGCTCAAAGTAGGAACTTTCTATTAATAGCCTAGCTTTGCCACTCACCGGAGGGCATATGGTACACTCCTGTGTGTAAAATAAGAACAGTAATAATGTGTACCTTGTAAGTATCTCAGAAAACAATAAAACTGTAACACTTATAAAATATGGCTAGAACATAATAGATTTAATAGATTCTGCTACCATTACTAATTATTCAAATAAATTGAAAGAGAAATAAAGTTGGGAGAACATGCACATTTGTTTGAACTTAGAACATCACAAGCCAGAAAAGTAGACATGACTCAGTATCTCAAGAGTGTTTCCACAGGACAGCACAACCCCAGCTGCCTTCCTGTCTCCACACCCAAAGTCATTGAGACAATGTGTGTCCTCACCATTATGTAAAATAAAAAACATTCAAAGTGCTTTTTAGAATGTTCTGCTTAGGGGCTGGAGAGATGGTTAAAAGTACCTGCTGCTCTTTCATGGGATTAGAGGCTGTTTCCTAACCCCCATATCGCTAGGCTCATAACTGCCTGTAACTCAGGGATCTAATGCTCTCTTTGGCCTCTGTGGGCATGGCTTTCTCTGTCTCTCTGTCTCTCTGTCTCTCTGTCTCTCTGTCTCTCTGTCTCTCTGTCTCTCTGTCTCTCTGTCTCTCTGTCTCTCTGTCTCTCTGTCTCTCTGTCTCTCTGTCTCTCTGTCTCTCTGTCTCTCTGTCTCTCTGTCTCTCTGTCTCTCTGTCTCTCTGTCTCTCTGTCTCTCTCTCTCTCTCTCTCTCTCTCTCTCACACACACACACACACACACACACAACCTCAAAAACAAGAATAAAGATGTAAAATTAAACCACTTTTTAAGGTTTTTATAACATTATTTGTAAACAACAAAAAGTTACACTAGTCCAAAAAGTATAGAGAGTATGTTTCAGGCATTATTACTGAACTTTGCCCCATTCTCAGATCTTATTAAGTTTTACTTAGTGGATAGACTTCATTCCAGGCATCCATTTTAAAGAATTCTTTACACTATTTAAGAGAATGCGATACTGAGCTTCATTTCAAAAGATTGTTGAGCAAAGTAACCTAGTGAAAGCAATACAATTTAAATGTTTCCCAATTTAAAAATTTATAAGCTAGGAAGTAACAACATAATGAAATATTAATAATAAAAGGCATTTTCATATTGTGATGTGAAGCAAGGTCCCTTTGCTTGAGAAAATCACTTTAACCAAGGTGAGCTATATTTGTGTTGTTAGTTTTTTCTCTTGTTATTCAAACACAGAGGATTTAGACTTGCTTTGAAAGTTTACACGATGCTTTAGTAAGCAATTTTATATTAAAAAATCAAAGTAAATTAAAAATACTTGTCAAGCACCTTTGATCTAAAGATCATATTAATGTCCTCATATAGCAATGGGACTGAGAGGCTGTTTCCACAATGTTATGGTTGATTTGTAAATGGAGACAAATATTTCCATAGTTTTATAAGCAAATAAATTACTT